TGGACATCGATATTCTTGTAGAGGACAAGGAGACAGGCGGTAACTGACGCAGGAAACAACATTTTATTGTTAATTATATTCTCTTCTCTCTCTTGGCAGATGGTAAATCATTGGTGCATCCGTTGCAGGTCAACTACATACACCAATTGATTCAAGCGCGTCTCGTGGAGAACCCAAATGCGTTGAGCGAGGTGTACAACTGTTTACACTACTTCTGCCAGTCGCTGCAGCTAGAGGTGCTCTATACTCAAACGCTGCGCTTGAACTACGAGCGCCTCGACGACAGCAATATCACCGTGGAGGAGTATGTGCCGGGCGTCAAGCTTACGGTGTCCTATTGGCGTGATCTGAAGTCAGAGCTGGGCTACCGTCTCACTGTTCAATCCGATCCCAGTGAAATTGGTAGACCTCTGGTCGTTGTCCATGTGCCTTCTTTAGGTGCCAAGGAGTCCGCTGAGGTGGCTGATCGGGCTGTGCGCTCGGAGCACCTCTCCATGGAGCGGTTGATAGTGCACACCGTTTATATACGATCCGTGTCTCGCTTAAGTGATCTCAAGCTTGAATTCCAGGCTTTTCTCAAAGACGTTGACTGTGAGTGTAAATGTTCCCAGTTTCAATAGATTCGGCTCCATTGATCAATGGACCTCTTTCATTTTAGTTAACCTGCAAGGCACACCCGCTATTTTGACAGTGCCCGTCCTGTCGCCCTGCTTGCGCGCCGAGCAGATTCACATAACCATTGACACGCACACTGGTATGTTCCGCTGTCACGTACCCAAGCATCTCGACTGTCCAATTACGGATGAGATGCAGGAGAGTTTGAATACGGATCGCAGCAAGCTTCCAGCTTTGCTATCCGAGCTACGCTATTGGATTACTCATCGTCGATGCGAGAAAACATTGCAGCATCTACCCGCAACGGCTACCGAAACTTTGCCTTTTCTCGCTCCACCCGGACAGGAACTTTTGCAGCCAGGCCGTCACAAGATCTATGTCAAGCTACATCGCCATCCCAATATGATTCTGGTATGTGAACATAAAATCTTTAGAAGTAACTCAATAACTCCTTTACGTATTTTAGGTTGTTCAATTAAAGGAAAAGTCTGCCATGCCCAACGAAATGGAGTACACCTTCCATCTGGGCTTTGTGGCCTTTCAAAAGGATGATAACGAGGTCATAGACGAGTCGGCAAAGCAGCTAGTTTCAATTGTAGCTCAACCGCCATCAGACATACCAAAATTCTACACAAAGCTAATACGTTTAATTGAGTTTGACACTTTTGTAGCTACACATGGTCCCGGCACTGAGGTCGACGGTGAGTTCTGCTGGGTTCGCTTGCTTCGGACAGATATAATTGATTTGATATATTCTTAGCAGAGGTGTCCCCGCATAAGCGCAGGTCCAATGGTGATGTTCTGGGACCACCGGCCAAGCAGCAGAAGACCATTTTCCCTGCATATTTTATACCAGAACTCGCGCACGTAGTAGCAATGTGCGATGAGAAGATACCATTCCTCAATCTGGCCCAATCGCTCTATAAATACCGCATTCCGCATAGCGGATTGCAAGTGGAGGCGAATGCCACATCGTTGGTGCTGAAGATTCTGGCATTGCCCAAGCCTGGCACACATCAGGCACTTGGAGCGGCAGGTGAACAGAAGCCAGCTCCGGCACCCAGTACATCATCGGCGCTACCAAAGATCGAGCCACATGTCTGGGATGATCTTATGCGACGCGTTCTGTCGATCTCAGTGCGCTCGCAGACAAACAAAAACAGCCAGGTGCGCATCTGGGTGGTCGAGTTTGTGTTCTATAGCACGCCGCTGCAAAGCACTCACCAGAAGGAGCTCGGCAGTCGACGCACTGTCAATCTAACCTACGAGCAGGCCAATCAGGATTTCTCCAAGACAGTCGAGGACCTACTTAATGATTGGTCTAAAATCGTTTACCTATATACGCTGGTTTACGATTTCGCAGAGCAACTACGCAACAGTTAGTACAGATCAATCCTACAATAAGCTTTCTAGTTATTTATACTTACTCATGTATTTCCATAGAGCGTCTGAGCCTGGGAGACATGCTGGTGGTCAAGTCCTACACCTACGCCAACTTGTTGATTGGCTATGGACCCAAGAAGGAGGTCACCTGCAATATTTATTGGTCTGTGCAGTCGCATGGCTTCCGATTGACGTTCGTGGGCGGCATCTCAGCTGTGAATGCGCACTCCATGATGCGTGACCAATTGGCCCAGCATCTAAATCAACAGCACAGTCTCACGTCCATAGCTCACATACTGCACGAGACCTACAATCCGATGAGCTCCATAGCCAAGCTGCCAGTGATTCCAGTGCTGGGCGTACCGGTGAGCTATAGATATATATGTATATACATTGATAATTCTGTAACACCTTTCGTATTTACAGCGCCCCCAGGTGCCCGTGCTGTCTTTCTGCATGCTGCCGCAGTCGCCCTGTTTGATGCGTCTGACCTATCAGGCTGTGTATTGTCTGGAGCTGCGCTTTCGTGCCAATCGGCTGGTGTCCATTCGTGATGGCGCTAGTAATCGTTTTGATCGTAATATCATCGAGGAGTTCACTCCCATTCAAGGCCTTAAGGCATTCCTATCCAAGTACGTGGATGAGTCGGCTGTGTACAGAGGTCGTGCACCACATGACGACGACAATCCGCTGTCTCCCATGGGCTTAGAGGACAACTTTGGCGGCCCGAACAGCGTTGCGGGAGTTAGCGCAGGAGGATCTTCGCCTTTCCTTGGCGCCGGCATGCGTGGCCCGCAGTCACCACGAGATAGTGGTCTTCGCTTTCCAGCACCACATACGCCACCTTCCAGCTCCAATCCACATACACCAGCGAGTCCGCATCCCAGCTCTAGTGGCGGTGGCGCTAGTGGAGGTCAGAGTCATGCGAATTTCAATTTGACATCGCCGCCAGCACCGCATATGCCGCATCCGTCGCCAGGTGGCCTGATGCCCTCATCGCCACTGAATCCACAGCCCAGTCCACACATGGTGCATAGTCCGGGACCCAACACTTTGTATATGCAAAGCCATCAGGATTCGCCATTCACAGCTATGTCGCCGGCGAATAACAATTGGCCCGGGTCTCCAAGCATGCCGCGTCCATCACCCCGACCCGGTCAGAGTCCAGAGCACAAGAGTACGGGTGGGGGTGGCCCAGGTGTGGGCGTGGGTGGAGCCGATCGAAGTGGACCGCGCGGTACTCTCAACCGACCATGGGCCGGGGCTGTGCCCACGTTGCTGACTCATGAGGCACTGGAAACGCTGTGCCGACCCAGTCCGCATCCCAATAAGGATATAAATGTGGCTGATATGAGTCCCCTTGAGAGGTTCTTGGGCTGCGTTTACATGCGGCGCCAACTGCATCGCAACATCCAAAGCGAGGAGTCGTTGACGGCGCTCAACTCAACGGAGCCAGGCGTAGTGCTCTTTAAGGTGGATGGCCTGCAATGCCAAGTGATGCTCAATCAGCTGCATATGCAATCTCTGCATCTGAAGGTCACCCAGCTCCCGCCTATGCCAGACAAGCCCACATTCCAGCTCAGTCCAGACGATCTGCTGGTCATCGAGCAGTACTTCGACACACGAGTGGCCGCGCCGCCTTATCGACCAATGGCATTGCACAGCATGTGTCGCCTATTGAATCTGCCCGGTCATGTGCTCAAGGACTTTGTGCAGATCATGCGTCTAGAAATGAAGCCCGAGCTGGGAGGCGATCAGCTTAAGTGGACCGTGCAGATGTGCCTGCGCATGTCGCCGTCGGCCTTGCCCATCGTGCCCATTGGCAGTGCCTGCATAGTCCTGGGTCGCATGAAGATCCTGTTCTTCCTGCACATTACACGTATACCGTACAACGGAAAGGACTGGAAGGACAGCCCCTCGCTGGTGCTGCCCATTGTTCATGACATAGCCGCAAACCTAACGCAGGTGGCGGAGAAACGCGAACAGGTGCAACCGCCTCTGATGGCTGCCGCGAGCACTCTGCTGCGTGGCTTCGCTGACTACGGGGTGCAGCAGAATCGATGCTCACTCTTTCCGGCCGTCACGGAGCTGCTGACCAATCTGGCCGTGGATCAGCCGGCGCCGCCACCCAACCAAGCCATCGGCGCGCCTGTGGGCCTAGGCGGCGTCGTTGGCGTTGGCGTGGGCGTGGTTGGCGCTAGCCCAAACACAATGATGCCCATGCAGCAGTTGCAGCCACAGGTCGGACATGGGCCCCAGCTTGGCCCGAATCCTGGTGGTCCGCAGTGATGAAGGCGCAAGCGCCGCGCCTCCTCGCAACAGCCGTGAGGCGGAATCCAGGGCGCAACTGTGCAGCACACACAACCACAGGGAATTCCCAACTATCATTCATTTATTTATTGTTTAAAATACGACACAAGTTTGCAACATTCACTGGCGTCCACGGGAGACGAGAGACAAGTGTCAAGGTCAAAATCCAGATCCAGATTGAGCTATATAAAAATGTAGTATCCAGCATACGCAATACGCATTACAATACGAAACTATTGTACAAAAGAGATGCACTAAGTACATGTAATAAATCACTAACTAACTGTAAAGCTAACTACTCTAATCGTTAGAGCATTTGCCTGATTATTTTTGTTTTGCTTTGCTTATATCATTTATCACATGGGTCGGTCGTCGAGCGATTCTGTGAGTGCTTGCACCGAGGTTAGTAAATATGGTTGTTTGTGTATTCTATGTACCCTTGCGATAGGCCTTACGTGATTGACTGCAAATCCTTCTGGAGTGACTCATTTAGTTTGATTCTAACATAATCTGACAGAATGAATTGCCGACCAAATTGACTAATAGTCAATAATGTACAATAACGATTTGATGGAATTGAAAACAGCAATCGGAAAACGAAAAATAAAAGTCAAAAGGATAGTTTCTTACAGTCTCTTAGCAAGGATATACGAAATTCGACAATGCCGAATTTAGATCCTGTTCTACTGCTCTGCTTTTTGCGCTCTTCTTTTTGGCTTAATTGCAGTTGTGGCTTCGACGCTTTAAGCTGTTGCAATTTGCGTGTTGTCCATTTGGTTGGTGAGCTCTGCGATGCCCTCCTCCTCGTCCGAAATGAGATCGACCCAGTAGCGCAGCCGCTTGCTGCGCAAATAGCTGGCCGAGTTGTCAAACACAACGGTGTCTAAATGGGTAGAGAGAAAGCATTTAGCACCTATGTTTATATATAGAGTAGATCTGTAAGCAACGCACATGTGGTGTTGGGTCTTGTGGAGATGCAGCCCACCTCATCCATTTCGTTGGAGTAGACGGTGCCAAGCGGCACCTCGCTGCGCTTCTCCCCCGTCTTCTCGTCCACGCTGTAAATGCCAAACTTGATGTCGTAGTCGAAGGTGCGGAAGTTCCACGAGAGCAGCTGCTCCTCCTGCCCATTCACCTTGAAGTTCAGCTTGAGCTTGTCTCCTTTGGGCACTTGTGTGTCCGTGAAGCTCTTGTCGCTTTGCTGGCTGTTCTGATCGATGTAGAGCTCCTCGGGCAGCTTGCCACCCCACACCATCATGGACTTGCACTGGGGATCGCCCAGTTTGTCGACCAGCTGGCCGCCCCAGCTCTTGGGAAAGTTCTTGGGATCAACGAGTGAGAACAGCGACTCCTGCCACTTGTCCGTGCCGGACTTGTAGATGTGAATCTTGCTGGTGGTGTTCTCGTCCAGGAACTTCTTCACAATGTTAAAGGCCACCGAGAAGAGCTTCGGTGCATTGATGATGTAGCACATTTTGAGCAGCTCTGGGAAGTTGGCCTCGTACTGCTTGATGGACGAGATGACGCACTCGGCTGCTGGCCGCCAGGCGTACTGCTTCAGGTTCATCGACTCGCAGTCCAGGAAGACGACCAGCTGGCGCGCCTTCCAGCCATGCTTCAGGCTCTGCTCGTAGGCGAGCTTCATGAATCGCTCCAGCAGCAGCACCAAATACTTTTGAAACTCGAAGCGTGTGACGCAGTGCATCATGCCCCAGATGTCATAGTTGTAGAACGGACAAACGATCACTAAAGAGAAAACAATGAGGTGAATCGCTGCTATATAACTAAGAAATTTACTCAATTACCTGGCGATCCCTCCTTGTCAAAGCCCATGATGCCATAGGGCAGATACTCGCGCAGCGCCTTCGGAGCTTCCCATTTCTCTATATTATCCACGTTCCACATGGCGCGCGTTTTGAGACTCTGTGGGAAGATATTGAGAATCGAGGATTAGTGCTCCGTATATGCGGGAATATATATCAGTTATATATCTGATTTAGTAGATCAGCAGTCAGTTAAACTTATATCGGTATATAGCAAATATAAGTACCGCTCTAAGCATTTTCTCTGCAGCCTCCACATTCCATTTGCGAGCTATGGGAGAGACGCACAAAGGGAGAGAGAGAGAGAGAGATAAGTTAGTTTATAGCTGATTATCTTTCACAGCTTTAACTCACCTCGCAGCCAGCGCAGTAGAAAATAATCATCATGCGTCTCGTTCAGCTCGGGGCTCATCAACTTGCGGAACTGTAAAGGTGCAACAAAACGGATAAATTGATAGCCAAAGTTAACCTTGACTTAAACCAATAACTGTTGACCCTGTGGTCAAGCGTGGAATCAAGCATAAGTCGGAGAGCACGTTAGGTGTATAAGAATAGAATTCATAGTGAATGAAACAGTTCGAACCTTAATTTCAATAACTGCATTTATGATTTTCTTTAACTCTGTTCAGTGCACTGTCTAAGCTTTCAACAGGTGTTATACCGTTAATCATGTGACTGCAGCTGGGCGACGCTCTGCATATCAATCAAGCCACAAACACACTCGCAACTTGGCCTTAATAACTGTTAATTTTCAGCTGAATCAATGGCAAATTTAATATTTGTCTGAATGATAGTTTGAATACTCTGTATAATTGATGGAGTGAGGTATACTAACATCTTTTTCAAGTTAGTTTGAATTTCATATACTATATATATATTACACATATTTACAGGGTATTCGGTATTCGGTTAACTGCCCACGTTTTACACTCGCAAAAGGTCGCCTCGGCAAGGTTTTGATTAATTATTTTCCTGTTATATTTTTATGTGAGTCAAGCCTAATCGAAAAGCTGCCCGCATTGAATTGAAGCAGGGGAAGTAAAAATGCGACAAATCACAAAAATTGATAATTGTCAATAAAATGTATAAATTTAATCAAATGTAGGTGCAATTGCTCAATGTTTGAGATGTCAGATGTAATCGAGTGGAGGTAACGTGCCTCGATTGTTTAATTGAGCGTCGCAACTAGCTGCCAAAATAAGCGGAGCTTGGCTAAAGGCTGTTCACTTGGCAGTCGCTCACATTTGGCTTACAGCTCGGTTAACTTGGCTCAGCTGAGTTTAGACCACACTTGAAATTCAATAACGAGGCCGAATGCCAGTCGTTGAGTGGCTTTTGTTTTCATTTTGCGTTTGCTTTTGCTTTTTGCTTTGGGCTTGAACTGCAGGCCAAGACGTCGCTTCTTAAAGTCGTAACATGATTTTCATTTCAATGCAAGGGACAGGGACAGGGGCAGGGGCAGGCGCTAGCGGGGTCTGGGGTAGACATGGGGAAGGCAGTGATTTGGCTTGGTTTTCATAAGTGCTACGCATTTTAGCCAACTTCCTCATAGCTCAGACGCCTTGCAGCTGCCAATTGCTCGCTTTGCTTTGTGCTTTGTTCTTGTTTTTCTACCAAAGCCGCAAACTTGGTCAAGATTTCAACAATTTGCAGCCAAATAAAACAAGTTAGTTGGAAATAAAAGAAAAAAACAAGGCTAAGAAATCTTAAAAGGCATTTGGCAGTTGTTAGCGAGGTGTGGATTGATGCTTTGGTGATCTCAGCAGCATTTAAGCTCTAATTGGAATTGAAATTGAATGGAAAATTCAATAAACGCAGCATGTGAATAATCCAATAAGAATTGCATTTAAATTACACTAGGTTTATAAAAATATACAAGAGCTGATTCATAAGAACTCCTAAGAGTCCAGTAACATTTTTGGCTTCAAATAAATAATATATATACATGTATTTATAAATTCTATTTTCTCTTCCCTATCCCAGAGTATCAGTCAGTCAGTCAGGCGCTCACTAGAGACGCCTACTCCAACGTCTCTTTCTATTTATCTGCAACTGCGAACTTAACGGAATCGTAAGGCCCTTGACTTGGTTGGCTTTTTAGCCACTCGCTTGACTCTTGGCGTTAAATCAAATATTGAAAGTATTCGCTTGGCTATTTGGCTCATTCGGGACTTTCCATGCTGAAAAACAAACCAGTTGTTGAAAGCGTGCACAAGCAAGAGTGAGAGAGATACAGAGAGAGTGACTAAGATATACCCCCTGCGCTTAATATAATCTTTGGCTATCTTATTAACTAAGCAAAGTTCAATATGCGCCTTGTTTTCTGATTGCGAATCCATATTTGTCAATTATGAGATTAAACTTTATCAATATCCATACCCATCAATTACAGCGCCAACAGGGTGTACCAAAAGCAGAACTCATTAGCATGTAAATACATCTAAATATATCTACATGTATTATATATTTATATATTGTCGTTCAGTTATGCTGATTGCTTCGTACTCGGCCAAAGGGTCGCAATCAGAGATCGTTTCATGCTATTTTGAGATAAGTTAATGACAATTTATAATTGCGCTCGCTCTGCCTTGAACTGGTTTTTTGTTTAATTGTGGCACTTTAAACAAAGCAAATAAATATGGATAAGTAGATTGCAGGTGGGGGGAGAGTTGGTGTGGTGGCATCCAGTACTAATTAACATCTACTAAGAACGTTGAGCTGTCATAACTAATTTAGTAGGTCCCACCTTTTGGTTTTTAATTGGCTTTAACCGTTTGACCATTTTCGGTTGATTTGCTCACACAATTGGGGGGCGGGTAGGGGCTGGTTATGCAGATTTGTGCCTAGTTGCAGCCGAGAACAAATGTCAACAAAGCGCAGCAGCTGCACGTTTTACCGGCTGCATGGTGCACAGTGGGCTACAGTGCATGCAAAGTGGACATTGGAACTATACAGATATTTGCATATGTGCATATGTGCATATGTGCATACATATGCATGTATGTATGCATGTATGGTGTCACGCTCCATTGAGTGGCTCGTGTTGACTCAAAGCTCTAAGCGCATTTAAATGCGCAATTTATCATATTGGCAAGGCCAAAGAGACCCAAGGAAGACATGATAAAACACGATATATATTGGGTGTATGTATGTGTGTGTGAATGCATGTAAATTTGTGTTTACTTATTTCGCAATGCAAACGAAAACGGTAAAACCGGTTCAATTCTTAGTTGTTCCAACTAAACGAAATATTTATTATGCGCGTAATCTTAGAGAACTCCCACTCAGAAGCCCAACTTCTGCACCAATTTATAGGCTTCTACTACACACACACACACACACACACGCACACACACACACTCATACACAGACCGAGAGAGTCTGACTATAAGAGAGAGAGAGTGTGAAGATGCGTTACGCTCTCTCACCTGTTCCAATGTTTTGCGCTGCTCGGCGCTGATTTCGGGCAGTGGACCAGACATTTTCTATATACAATTTGATTTAAAAGTTGTTAAATTTTTGCAATTTAATATGTTATGCACACACATACACACACGCACAAACACGCGAGCGCACTCCAATTTCGTTATCTCTTTTTGATGATTCGTCGTTATTTCGCTTTTTAGTTTATTTTTGGTTTTGCTGTTGCTGGCTTAAATAAAATAACAATAAAAACTTTCTACGCTTGCGTATGTTTTGTTGTCGATTTGGGCAGCCTGTTGCATATTTCAAGCGCAATTATTTGGTATTTTACTACACAGCTTTAGTTGACCCTCATCTGGGCCGGGCTAATTACAACAATTATACAAAGCAAACAACAGACACTGTCACTGTCACAGTTACACGCACTACGCAAATACACGAAACACGCCGTCAATGCTCATTTGTTTTTGCTTTCGAGCTGCCGCCGGAACTGTAGCGAACGGAACTCAATTTAACCTCAATGCGATGCGTTTGACGAACGAAAACAAACTGAACTTTAATGCGAAGCGGACTTGCTTCTTAAAATGCGCTCAATATTCGCTCTCTTTGCGTCGAATCAGCGCCAGCAACAATGACGGGAGCGTAAGCAGAAGTGATGATATGAAGTTAACGTTCTTTGGCGCTCAGCTGTTTCGTGCGCACTCTCTGTCTTTGTCACTCAATTTCTGCTCTGAGTTGCAAGACAAAGAGAGCAAGCAGAAGCGACGACAGTAGTTAACGTTCTTGTGCACGCACTCAGCTGTTACGTGCGCTCTCACTCTCTTTCCATATGTAAAGTAGTTTTCATTTCTGCAGTGCACAAATTCTGTTTTAAATTGCAATTCATATAATAAACATATAAATAGCTATCAACTTGTGTAGGGTGTAGCAATTTTGTGACTGCGCTTACTATTGCTCATTGCCTTTTTTATAGTATCAGCAATACTTTGTTGCTTCATATCAGCACCGCTTGCGGTTTATTGCAGCAGATTCTTAAATTTGGATTATTTTGTGCGCTTTGTTTTAATGATTATTAATATTATATTTAGCGTTTCGAGTGTTTTGTTGGCATATAACCGATCATTTGGGTAGCTGATAAGATAATATAACAGTCTATTTCAAATCTGGTCAGCAAAAGCTTCTTGACCTATTCTTTGTTTTCTGAATTGCCTATTTTAGCTAAGACAACAAAAGCAGAATATTCAAATTTGTTCACTGAATGCGAAGAGAAAACAATAGCTGGCGCTGCACATACGCGGGCACAAGTATTCAATATTATTTAATTCAACATGAGCACTAGATGGCGCTTTTTATGTTAGGGTATCAAGCAACAGATGGCGCTCCCCAAGCACTTGATACCTTGTACACTGTTATAGTCTTTAGCACCACATACATTTAAACATGTAATTTTTGTTCCGCAAAATAGATTTTCTTGCGTTTTCTTTTTTAATTAGCAATGCTAAATAGATATACACGAGTACGCACAAAAAGTTATTATTTTTGCCTGATTAATTTGTTTGTTGCCCCAATTGATCGACAGCTAAATTATGTTGGTAATTTCAATTGTATTTTAATAATCAATTGAATTGAATCCGATTGGTTCACCACCTGCTTCTCCCCTACTCATCCAGCTGACGCGGGACTGTTCTACCACAGTCCAGCCTCCGCTCCTGCCTCGGCTTCTCTATTCCTAACCCAATAGGTTTGCGCCTTTGGCTGCATGTGGAATCTCTTATTCGCACTTGAGTCGGAGAATTTACTAGTTTTGCGTCACAGACGTGCCAAAACTGAATAATTCAAAAAGTATATATATTGAATGATATGTTTATGAAAACAAACAATAGTCGGACAGAGACGCCAACACATGATGAGCGTAAAATTTTATGAATCTGTTGAAATTTCCAACTGCCCATTAAGCAAATTGCCAGAAATTCAAATCTGTTGCCAAAAGGCAGTGAGAGACAAAGACAAAACAGACAGACGGTGGAATAGTGGGGCCCAGGGAGAGGATGAAGGAAGACGGTTTAATATGTTGAATTTACCTTAGCTTAAAAACATAATCGAAATTTGTTTTGAGAGATTTACATAGCAATAATAACACAGCATAGAAAACATACATATTTCAGCACGATGTTGTTTTTCGCAAGGCATCAATGAAAGCCACAAGAAAAACAAACCCAGGCCAATCGATCGGCCCATCGATGGGCCAGAGTTGAGTGCTGAGCAGGTAAATCAACACCTGCAGCACATTGAATTCTTGGGCATAATATCGGCCGATTTCTAGATAAGGCCAGGGCAATTTGCCGTTAATTTGGCATAAACTACAACGTGGCTTATTGATTGCCATGCATCAGTTTAGATTACACTATGTTCAGCGGGAGGCAGGGGCGGAGGGGGCAGCCAAATTTATCTGCGCACAGTCTGTCAGTTTCTTCTGTTTGGTAGTTTCTTTGTTGCGCGTGGGCGTGTACCAAAAAACAAGGCGCAATTCAAGCAATTCACGCAATTCACGCTAAACACAGGCGAATAAATAAGCTGCCAGACAAAAAACACAATAAAGTTGCCCATTGCCCCCGCCCTTCTAGCCACTGCCCCGCGCTCGCTCCTTCACATTCTGTCGGGCCAGTCAATCAACCAATATCCCCGGCTCCCCCTGCCTAGCAGCTACTTTAGTGCTTTGCACTTGAAATCGGCAGCAGCATCAAGCTGTCGACCACCCGCAGATCAACACGATTCACACTGGCGAGGGCAGTGGAGGGGCGCTGGAGGATCTGGAAAGGATCTACGTCATGTGCTAGTCGATGATGCAGTGCTGCGTCTAAAGCATTGCAAAATACGCAAAAAGTTCAACATAAATAGAGCATCGCCTCGATCTGCTGCCGGCTACCTCATGACGTCCCACGAATTTCGACTGTGACTGCCCCACGTGACGTCACAGTCGCAGCATCACAGCCAGCAGCGTGTGCACCCCCGTTAAGATCCGGGTATTTATAGCTATCTGCGGGTACTACGGTGTGGACTAGAGTTGTGGCATGCACAGAAGGCAACTTTGATCTGTTGACAGAGGATCTAACGCTGTCTGAGTTCCTACTCTCGAATCAAATCCATCTATATCAATCTGGTTTCATGGCTTTATCGATGAGATTCTTGATCCACTATGACAGAGCAATAAAGATCCACTTTCTTACTCGAACTACTACTGTGCAGCTACATCCATTACCAATCAATTCTCACCAGTCATCCGGCAGAGTATATAGTATTCGGCTCTATATGGTATTTCCCCTCATCTTTCATTTTATTTGCATCTCCATGCTTGCGGGCAGCTCTGAGAAAATCGGATTCTATTTTTGGGTGATTGCACGAGTTTATAATCAACATAAACAAACAACAAATGCGAATGTGATTTAAACAAGTGAATAGAACCGTTCACTTAATAATATGCTATTGCTGTTACTATGACGAAGTCCGACAAACACACTATATATGTATATCCCATATGGTCTTATATACTGGGTGAGTAGCACGCAGGGTTCGAGTGCCTCGATTCAGCTGGGGTGTTCACATGCTTCCGAATACTCAACTGTCGATATTAATCAATATTGTTAAATGATGTGTAATTAGTTGGCGAACGTGAATAGCTAAGCGAGTGAGTCGAACTTCGCGCGAATGAACAATTTGCCGAACGGTTCGGTTCCTGGAACTAGGGATATGCCTGAAAAATGATTTGCATGAAATATGCTCTTCAGGAATTCTTCAGGTGATCTATAATTCATAGGCTGAGCAATAAGAGGATAGAGCAGAAGAGAGGCAAAGTGCCCCCGACAAACATGACATATATATAAAAGAACATTGCACTTTAAAGTTTGTATAAATAGGAGAGATTATATGTGATATATGGGGATCATACAAAATGATCTATGATCACCTGTGGGCATGGTGCATATGTGTTAGTGTTCGAGCATTGGGCAAATAAATTAGCTTACGTAGCATTTCATTCCTTATATCTCAAATTCTAAAAAATGAATCGAGTCTAAACATTAAATTCATGGAAAATGCTTGAATGAATATCTCTGGAAAGATGCTTGTTATGACTGCTATTGAATTAAAGAACTCATTCTATAGTTCTTTCTATAATCGTCGGCCTTTATGTTTAGATAAATCTTTATATATTTCGGGCATTGATATGAGTAAAGTCATCGAATTCGCCTTTTGACTTTTCATTGCTCTTTGCTTTAATGGCAATCGAGTGGCCAAGGTGAGTCATGATTCACCCGCTTCCCAATTTCCCAATTTTCCAGTTTCCCAACTGCCAGGCAGCCTCTCTATAACGAAATTCCTGTGCCATGAAAATTTGACATTTCGCTGAACGCAGCCGGAACAAGAAGCACGGCAGAGACAGGAGCAGCACGTGTCCTTGCATGCGAGCATGGGATCTACTCTTGCTCCCCATTCCTATTCCGATTCTCCTTTGACTTTCCCTTTCCCATCTCTGACAGATTTCCTTTTACTAAACTGTGGCACAGCCCTTGCCCTTGCCTTTGCCTTTGCCCCTGCTGCTTTAGACTCCAAGTTGCAACCTCATGGTGTGCGTGCAGTTGCGCCTAATCCGCGTTTTAGTCGTTTATCCTTCCCAGGCACAGGGAGCTAGAGCTGGAGCAGGGGCTGTTGCTGGCGCTGTCGCTGTTGCTGTTCCTGGCACTGGAGTCAAAGCGAAAGCCTGACAGAGGCGGAAACTGTTGCTGTCTGTGGCCCTTGTTGGACATGATGCGGCGTATTGTTGTTTCCTGCTTGCTTTCAGCTTTGACAAACAAATTAATAAGAAAACGAGGGCTGAACAGGGCGGGGCTGAGGGCCAGGCTGGGCTGATTTGGGCTGGGCTGGGCTGGGCTGTTGTGGTCTGGTCTGATGTGTTACCCCGCCGTTCGGCAGTTTGCCTGGTCATAATACGCGTAATTTTGCCTTTGTAAGCAAATGGCAGCACGACCGGGCAGCACCCTAACCAACAGGACTGACAGGACCGCAAGGACCTCTCCGTGCGTTCGTCCTTGATGGCAATGCTCGACATAATGACTTTTGATTACAGCGCCATTAAGCGAGGCCAACGGATCTCGACTCTGCTCAGCTCCTTGTACATCTGTTTGATTTTCGGCTTTGTGCGCCGTCTACTGGGCAGGGGATTACGACGAGTCGTTAGAGCTGTTCTTACTAGTTCCATGGCTCATTGAATTGGTTTCCTAGTTCAATGGCAGCAAGAGCTGTCTTTTATTTGAGCCAAAAGGCATTTAGTTCTTCATTCGACTTGGATTCATAGCTGGGAATTTAATTTGATTGCACAGTGAATGGATTCTATTGAACTTTTTATATGGCTCAAATGAGCCGATGATTAATAAACGAAGCTGGAACTACGACTACATATTGAGAAGTAAAGAAACTACGAATCAAAATTACTCAATTGAATAAATATTGTCAATTATTCGAAATCATTAACTACTCAAATGCACTAGACTT